CTTGAATTCCCTTTCTCATGCCTACTCTGGATTTGCCTTTTCTAGTTTAAGGTACAAGCTGAAGTCGTCGGTTAGTGACTATTCTTTTCTAACATAGCTGTTTAGTGTTTTAAAGTTTCCTTTGCTAAAGTGAAGTACTAAGTACTACCTTAGTGCCTCTCAGAAATTCTAGTATGCTGTGCTTTCATTTTTAAGTTAAAAATACTTCTAATTTCCCTTTTGATTTGTGCTTTGACCCATGGGTAATGTAGACAGGTTTATTTAGTTTCCAAACATTTGAGGGATTTTCTAGATATCTTTGTTATTGATTTCTAATTTATTACAGTGTGGTCAACAAACATTCTTTAAATTACTTGAATCCTTTTAAATTTATTGAGATTTATGGTCCAGAAGATAGTTCAATGTTTTAAATGTCCATGTGCACCTGAAAAGAATGCTTTTTTTCTGCTGTTGTTGGTTTTGATGCTCTAACTTTTCAAATCTGTACTATCCTTACTGATTTTCTGTCTACTTGTTTTATCAATCATTGAGATATGTTGAAATCTCCAGCTATAATTGTGAAACGTTTTTGTATATTGCTCCTTGCAATTCTATTAGTTTTTGCTTTATGTATTTTGAGGCTGTTATTAGATGCATAACATTAGGATTGTTATGTCCTTTGACGAATTGACTCGTTTATTATTATTAAATGACATTCTTTTTCCCTGGTGTATTAGTCCATTTTGCCTTGCTATAAAGGAATACTTGGGACTGGGTGATTTATAAAGAAAAGAGGTTTATTTTGACTCACAGTTCTGCAGATTGTACAAGAAGCATAGTGCTGGCATCTGCTTCTAGTGAGGGTCTCAGGAAGCTTACAATCATGGCAGAAGGGGAAGGGGGAGTAGGCGTGTCACATGAAAGAGGGAACAACAGTGACGTGGAAAATTCCAGACTCTTTAACAACCAGATCTTGTGTGAACCTATTACTTTAGGGATCCCTCCCATTCATGAGGGATCTGCCCCTATGACCAAAACAACTCCCATTAGGCCCATCTCCAAAACTGGGAATCGTATTTCAACATGTGATTTGGAGGGGACAAACATCCAAACTATATCACCTGGTAATGTCATTTGCTTTGAATCTACTTGGATTGATATTAACGTAGCCACTCCATTTTCCTTTGACTGGTGTTATGGTACATCTTCCTCTTTTGACTTTTTTTTTTTTGGCAGGGTCTGTCTCTGTCACCCAGTCACCCAGGCTGGAGTGCAGTGACATGAACATGGTTCACTGCAGCCTTGACCTACTGGGCTCCAGTGAGCCTCCCTCCTCAGCCTCCCAAGAAGCTGGGACTACAGGCATGCGCCACCACACAATTTTTGTGTGTTTTTTGTAGAGAAGAGGGTTTGTCAGGTTGCCCAGGCTGGTCTTGAACTCCTGGACATAAGCAGTCCACCCACCTTGGCCTCCCAAAGCGTCCATCCTTGCCTGTTCATGTCTTTGTATTTAAAGTTTTTTTTTTTTTTTGGAGGATGTGTATGTGTATAAAGTTGGTCTGACTTTCTAATCCAATTTGATAATCTCTGCCATTTAATTGGAATATCTATATCATTTGCATTTATTGTGATTATTGATATGGTTGAGTTTAATAGACCACTTGCTGTTTTCTTTCTGTCTCATCTGTCCTTTTCTGCCTTGTTGTAGATTATTTTTCATGATTCCATTTTACTTCCGTTGTTGGCTTATTAGCTATAAATTTTGTATTGGTTTGTGTGTGTGTGTTTTAGGGGTTGATTTGGGGTTTATAGTATACATTTTTAACTTACCACAGTCTATTTTTTTGTTTGTTTTTTGAGACAGAGTCTTGCTCTGTCACCCAGGCTGGAGTGCAGTGGCGCAATGTTGGCTCACTGAAAACTTCACCTCCCAGGTTCGAGCGATCTTCTCACCTCAGCCTCCTGAGTAGCTAGGATTGCAGGTATGCACCACCATGCCTGGCTAATTTTTGTATTTTTACTAGAGATGGGGTTTCACCAGGTTGGCCAGGCTGGTCTTGAACTCCTGACCTCAGGTGATCCTCCTGCCTTGGCCTCTGGAAGTGCTGGATTACAGGGATGAGCCACTGCACCTGGCCCAGTCTACTTTCAAGGGAAATTATGTACTTGACATATAGTGTGGAACTGTACAGTTACACTTCCATTTCTGTCTCCCACCCTCTGTACTTTTATTCTTATGTATTTTAATATACATTAAATTTTTTTCTTTTAACACAGTATTATTTTTTCTTTTAAATAGTACATTATCTTTTAATTAAAAATTATTTATATTTACCCACGTTTTATCATTTCTAGTGCTTTTTTTTTTGGATACAAATTTCTATTTGGAATAATTTGGCTTCTACCTAAGAAATTTCTTTAATATTTATTATAGTTCAGGTCTGCTGATAAGGAATTCTTTTAGGATTTATGCATCTAAAAAGTCTTTATTTTCCCTACATTTTAAAATTATCTTTTGGCTGGGTATAGAATTCTGCATTTACAGTGTGTGTGTGTGTGTGTGTGTGTGTGTGTGTGTGTGTGTGCTGATACTTTAGAGAGGTTACTGTTTCTTTTGTGTTATTCCCCAGGAAGTTTGCTGTCATTTTAAGTTTTCTTTCTCTGCATATAATATGCCTTTTTCTCTGCTTGCTTGGAAGACATTTTTTTCTTTGTCACTGGTTTGAGCAATTTATGGTGTGCCTTGGCATAGTTTTCTCCCTGTCCCTGTTTTTGGTGCTTGGCATTTGTAGAATTTCTTGGTTCTGTGGGTTTATAGTTTTCATCAAATTTGGAAAATCTTCACTTCAATTATACCTATATTAGGCCATTAGAAGTCATTCCACAATTCACTATTGCTGTTTTCTCCCTCAATCTTATTTTTCTGTTTTTTTATTTTGGATCTATTGCTGTCTTCAAGTTTACCTATCCATTCTTCTGTGATGTCTAATCTGCTATTAATCCAATCCAGCATGTTTTTCATCTCAGTTGTTACAGATTTCATCTCTAGAACTTTGGTCTGAGTCATACTTACAAGTTCTATGTGTCCTTTGCATCTTATCTTTCTTCTGGCTTATTCAACATGTAGAATACAGTTATACTAGTTCTAATGTCTAACAATTCTATCACCTGTAACATTCTAGATTTCCTGATTTTTCTTCCCATGATGGATTGCATTTTGCTGCTTTTTTGCATGCCTTATAATTTTTTATTGGAAGCTAGACATTGTGACTATTATCTTGTTGGATGTTGGATATTTTGATTATTCTATAGATATCCCTGTGTTTGTTCTAGAACACAGCTCAGTTACTTGGTAGCAGTTTAATCCTTTAAGTTTTTGCTCTTAATCTTTAGCTTGTGCAGAACCAGAGAGTTCTTAGTCTAGGGCTAATTTTTGCCACTTCTGAGACAAAATTGTTTTGTGTATTCTACCCATTGCCCAAACAGGCAGTATTCCTGGCCTTGTGTAGGCTTTGGAGAGCGCTCTTTTTAACATTTTCAGGTGGTTCTTCCCCATGCCTTGGGTAATTTCTTCATGCGCATGTTTTGATCAGTATTCATCTGAACACCTAAGAGGAAATGTCTGCAGGTCTCTGGAGCTTGGTGTGCCACTCTCCTTCATCCTTTATCAGACTTGCAAACTTCAGCTGCTCTGACCTTCCTGAATTCCTAGCTCTATCCCCTCTACTCAGGGAGCTGGTGAACTTTGCGTGGGTTCCCCTCTCTCCAGCATGGCCTAGAAATTCTTTACATGCAGTACTCTAGGGCAGACATAGGGCTCACTTACAGTTTCATCTCTCAGGGACCAGTCCCCCATTACCTGATGTCCAATGCCTTGAAAATCATTCTGATATATTTTGTCTTTTTTTTTTTTTAGTTGTTTCAAGCAGGAGATTAAATCTGGTTAGTTACTTCATCTTGACCACAAGCTGTAGATGATATTGGAAACACGTGGCGAGCTTGTTGTAAGTACATATATCTTAGGGCATATTCCAGTCATACTGATTTACAAGCTATATCAGTCAGACGAGGGTATGGTTCTGCAACTGTGTGCCAAAACCATGCCAGGCATTAGATATATAAAGTTAAATTCGGCATAGCACCTGTTTGCAAAAGACTTTACAATTCTCTGAGAAAGACTGGGTAAACCAAATCTTACGGTGCAATGTATTAACCATAATGTCTACATGCAGGGTGATGTGGAGCATCTTATGGGAAAAGGCATCCAAATACGGTCACGTGATGGCCAAGGGAGGTTAGCAAATGAGTCCTGGAGGAAATGAAGGAAATTTGGAAAGATGAGCTAGAGTTAGTTGTTTTAGTGGAATTAGGGGGAAAGGAAGCCAGCAGGCAAGAGCACTCCAAGTAGAGAGGATATTGTTATGAAGGCTCAGAGGTACCAGGTTGCATAATACCTTTGGGGAACTGCAAAGAGTTTGGAATGGTGGGATCAGAGTGGAGGAAGAGGTGGTCTTCAGTGTCTCCATGTCTAAAAGGAGACTCCTGGCCAGGCGTGGTGGCTCACGCCTGTAATCCCAGCACTTTGGGAGACCGAGGCAGGCAGATCACAAGGTCAGGAGATTGAGACCATCCTGGCTAACACGGTGAAACCCCGTCCCTACTAAAAATACAAAAAAAAAAAAAATTAGCCAGGCATGCTGGCAGTGCCTGTAGTTTCAGCTACTTGGGAGGCTGAGGCAGGATAATCACTTGAACCCAGGAGGTGGAGGTTGCAGTGAGCTGAGATCACGCCACTGAACTCCAACCTGGGCGACAGAGCAAGACTCCTCTCAAAACAAAAGAAAACAAACAAAAAAATGGAGACTCCTCTATCGCTAACACTGATGACTTTCATGTGGGAGAAGAAAACAGAAGAGAATAACCCATTTTATTGAGATGGGTAGGCTAGTGAAGCATTTGATAATAGATAGATCCAGTTTTCCCTTGAACCTGAGAGTATGTCTGACTTATTGACGTATTTATTCTTCAAAGGTTTATTAAGCACCAATTTTACATCTGGCCATATGCTGGGTACTAGATATCCAGAAATTTATAAGACCTTATATTTTGATAGTATTTTTAAATTGTTTTGTGTCTTAAACACTTACTATTGAGCATATTTCTAAAAAACCTTAGACTGAACAGCCTCAATGTCAGGAAAACAATCAGGGACTGCGTTGACAGAAGAGGAAATTGGCAGCTTAGCTGAGAGCAGCACATATTAGAGACCATAAGTAAAGACATAACATTAAGTACCAAGAAGTGTTCTAAGCACTGTATGTAAATTAACTCATTTGATGCTCAATCAGAAGACTTACTACTTACTAATCAGAAGACACTCTTTTGACAGTAGTCTTTCTATGTATTTATTTTACCTGCTACCAATCATTGCACTACCACAAAGAATGATGAAGTCCCAGGGACCTTGGGAAGAAGAGGTGTGGTCCCTGAGAAAAGGGTTGAGGGGGTGTTGAAGTAAAAATGTTGTACCAAATGGAAGTTTTTCAAAAAGGCACAGACAACAGTTATCTCTCCAAACAAATGGATGTAGCAGTAAACCTAAGAGTTTCTTTAGGCTGTGTTTACTAACGTGAAGAGCAACATCTTCCTAGGTGTTAGGCCACCCCAAGTGTAGTTTAAAAATAAATAGTACTAGAAACGGAAGTGTAAACACATGCACAGTTTATCATTTCACCCCTGTGAGGTCAGCAGACATCTGTAACACACTTTCCCTACAGCAGCTAACAAAGGCAGGATGATGGTATCTGTTCTGAGTGTTTGGAACAACATCGCCACTTATCTTTATAGATTTCCTCAGGCACTCAATGGAGGGCCTGAAAAACATCAATGTCAAGGACTACGCTGCTACGTTCTATGAGCTGGAGACGAACAAGGCCTCTCCTGATGCCTCTCCAGTCACGGGAATAATGGTTTTGAAAACATCAATGCTCCCTCTGCCTTGTACATTGTGATCTCCTGCAGTCCATCTGAGGCCAGTGCGCACAGGGCCACAGTAGGCGATGAGTATTCCTGACGACAAACCTGCTATTTCAGTCTACTTCTTCATGTGATATCCCAAGTATTTTTTCCTAGAGGGGGAAAAATAGATTCTTAAAATTCCAAGTTAGATTTACTGTCGAAGTGAAAACATATGGCTGCTAACTCTGCTCTATCCCAGGCACGACCCAAGGCTCAGGAGACCATGTTAGTTTGGGGGAGGGTTTGGAGAGGTGACTGGCATTCTTGGTATGCCTGCAAGGAAAACATCAGCTAAGGTCTTACGTTACACACCCAGAGTTAACAGGCTGGATCTTTTCTTGAAGAAGGGAGGGCTTCGAGGGTGTATTTAAAATTCAAAAAAAGTAGGTACTGAAAGGAAAGATCAATGACTATGGAGGTTACAACCCTCTCCTTTCGAAGTGCTACAGAATGGGTGAGGTTGCAGGACTGCGGGGTAACTATGTGAATGGTGCTCCACAGACGGAACAAAGAACCGAAGAGTAAATCAGAATCTTGCGGTAGCTTGTTTGGCAGCCTTGTAGATAGAGTTGCTGTTCATTCATTTGATCGATTAATTCACTGTTCTACAAGTTCTGGCTGAACATCCATGGTGTTATGTAGAGGAATGGGAGCTATGGGAGATTAAAGGAGCCATCATAAAATACACAATCTCACCCTTACAGATTTGCAGTTTAGTTGGGAAGATGACATGTACTTGTATGAAATGTGGAATACTGAGATAGTTAGGAACCCTGAGCTTCCGGAAAGCTTGTGCATGGGACTAGATTTCTCTCCTCCCACACTGCTACAAGGACAGCACAGACAGCCATTGAGACACTTGGTGCCAATGGAAGTCCCAGGAGGCTTATTTCCCAGTGTCTTCTTTTTTTCCCATTAAGGGACTCTGAGCACATGCCCCAGTCCACATGTCCTTCACACTTCCATAGCTCATATCAGTTCATAAATATTCTTTATCAACATCCTTTATTTTTTTTCTACCCTTTGGAAAAATTAGTCATCCCCTCTCACATTCTTTTTCTCCCCTCTCCTAATTTCCACTGACATGGTCCAAATTAAACTTAACTATGGCCAAGAGTTAAGATTAAGGTTTATGATAACTTGGATAAGAAATACATTTTGAATTGAAACTACAGATGTTAAAGAACTAGTGCCATCAAGTTCTGAAGCCTTTGGAAATCCGCTTTAGTATTCCTACGGAATAATTCATCTTTTTTTTTTTTTCTAATTGGAATTTTTTTTTTTTTTCAATTCCCAGCAGCCAAATAAAAAAAAAAAAAGTATTCATCTCTCTTTCCTCTTTTTGATTACTAGAATTAGAACTGCTAGTTTTATAAAAGATGTATTGAAATATAATTGTGCTATAAAATTCACTAATTCAGTGAATTAGTATATTCACTTTTAGTATATTCACAGTTATGCAAACATCACCTCTGATTTTAGGACATTATCATCACTCCAAAAATAAACTTCACATCCATTTGCAATTATTCCCATTCTCTCACCCTCAGCTCCTGGCAACAAGTCTGCTTTCTGTATCTATACATTTGCCTATTTTGGACACTTCCTATACATGGAATCATACAGTATATGGCTTTTTGCCTGACTTTTTTTCACTTAGCACAATGTTTTTAAGGTTCATCCATGTATCAATACTTGCTTTATTTTTATAGTGGAATAATATTCCATTGGGTGGCTATACTACATTTTCCTTATCCATTCATCATTCATCAGTTGATGGACATTTGGGTTGTTCCCACTCTTTGGCTAATAGAAGCTATGAACATTCATGTGCACACTTTTGTATGAAAATATGTTTTCAACTTTCTTGGGTATATATCCAGGAGTGGAATTGGTAACTTTATATTTAACATTTCTGGGAACTCCCAAGTGGTTTTCCAAAGGGACTGCACCATTTTACAATCCAACTAGCAACATAAACGGTTCCAGTTTCTCCACATCCTCACCAACATCAATACTTTTCCTTTTCATTTTAGCCACCATAGTGGTTAGAGCTCAATGTTGCTTTGATTTGCATTTTCCTACTGTTGAAATGAAGATGTCAAACAAGCCTCTTTTCATGTGCTTTTAGCCATTTATATATATTCTTTGGAGAAATGTCTATTCAAATCCATTGCTCATTTGAAAATTGGGTTGACATTTTATTATTCAATCATAATAGTTCATTATGTATTCTAGATATGTCTTTTATTAGAGATATTATTTGCAAGTATTTTTCCCCATTCCGTAGGGTTTTTTTTGTTTTTTTCACATTCTTGGTAGTGGTATTCTTGGAAGCACAAAACAAAATCCAATGTATCTATTCTTTCTTTAGTTGCTTTTTAGTTGCTTGTGCTTTTGGTGTAGAACCACTGCTTTTTATAGCATATTTATGGTATTTTAGCTACATTAGTGGATTAAATAGATTTTTGAGAGCTGGCCTGTGAACCCAATTGATAATTATAATTTCTCTGAGAAAATATATTAAGAGGACTAACAATGATTTTTAAAATGAATGCTTGAAACATAGTCAATTGGGAATTCGATCATCTTTTGTATATTATTCGGGTGCAAACATGAAGTGTTGGAGATTAGAGGCTGTGCAGCCTTTGAGCCGGAAGGGTCAGGAGAGACTCTGGGGCAGATGAGGGCTCGAGGGGGTTGTTGGGGTGGAGGAATCCTGGAAAGACGAATAGGTAGAACTAAAACAATGTTGAGGAACCTGTCCTCCTTTTAGAATAAACTAAGGCAGCTTAAGTTTAGGATACTTAAGAATGGCCTTGGTTGTTCAGATCAGCCACTTAGGGTTATCATACTTGGTGCAAAAGTGGAAAATAGAAAGGAACTCAATGTACAGAAACTGAAGGCCATGGCAGGCACTGAAGGCCATGGCAGGCACTGAAGACCATGGAGGGCACTGAAGGCCATGGCAGGCACTGAAGGGCATGGCAGGCACTGAAGGCCATGGCGGCTGCTGAAGACCCTTGGGCAAGACCAGCTGCACTTGCCTTCTGGGAGCAAGGAGACCAAGACTGTGTGGAGGTCCCAGGGTCACTCCAGCCATGCCTAGAGCCAACTCAATCCTCTTGCTGGCCCCTGGACCATTCTAGTGGAAAGCGAACTAAGGATAACGTGGGGTGAAGGTCTGTCCGCCTAGGAATGCCTAGGCCTGTTGAGAGTTAAAGTTCTGGGGTAGCACATTTTGACACGGTGGACCTTATGTAGCCGTTTGAACATGGCAGTTTTAAGGAGACCTGAGGAACTGGGGATGAGGGATGGGAGAGGGTTTGAGGCCTAGGGGAAAGAGGTCTGTTTTGACTGATATCAGGTAATTGAAAATGAAAGTTTAACTGTTGGTTTTTTATTTGGTATCAAAATGTCACCCTCAAAATGGTTGGGTCAAAGCAGCAATGACAAAATGTCATGAACCCTGAGTCTTTGCATGAGGCTTAGTCCCTGCGACCTGTAAGTATCTGCAAGTGTGGAGAACTGTCTGCCTCCCCTTGTCTCCCTGCCAGACTTCCGTTGCCTGCAAAATTTGTGAAAACAGAAATTACATCTATCTAAACATTTCTTATCTCAGCATCTCCTCATTTCCTGTTCCATCTGACCAGTCCCTCCATCCACACATACCCTACATACCCTTGGAGAGCTCAGTAAATATTTATTGATGATGAAGATAATCACTAAAAATATGTTCCCATCAATGGGATCTGTCTCTTGCCACTCAAGTGTCCTAAACTCATGAGAACTGCTTCATAGATGTGTTCCCTTCATTTAAAAAAAAAAAAAAAAACAAGTCCATCCCATCCCATCTCTTCTGAGTTCTGAGAAAATTTGTTCTTACATACGATACGCTTACCCATCCACCGTGCTGCTGGATCCATGGTGAGAAGTTCTCTTTCAGGTACTTGGTGCCAAAGCCCAGCACCCTGTTCATCGGATGGTTGTCAATAGCTGTGAGCTTGGCCGTGACGTCTATTGCAAGGGCAGCCTTAAAGCCCTGAGCTTTGACCTCTGATTCTCCCCTGGTGTCCACACCCATTAGGACCTGGTCTGTGATGGTCTTGAAAACAGAGTAGGACAGCCCATCCTGGAAGTGGCCCATCAAAGCCTTATCTTTCTTCAGCTGTGTACAAGAGAATAAGCACTCAGTACAGTGGCTTGGCTCCAGGAGGCAGACGGAAGTTCTTTCTTTAGCTCAAATGCAGGCCATCAAACCACCCCCTGGAAAACCCTGGATGCTGGTGTCAACCAAGGGAATGGGGATGAAGGCAGCGTGCTGCAGAACCAGAATGGGCATGTACTGCTCAGTGAATTCATTTCATCGGCACAAATATGTGTATGAAATGGAACAGTCAGTTCATCTGACATTCAACAGATATTTCCTGAGCACTTATAATGGGCAGCTAGTATGGATGACTGAGATGCAGGTCCTCCCTCAAAGGGCTCACAGTCTAGTGGGAATTACAAAACAATGCGATGTGCTTTGCTGGAGGTAGTGTAATGGACAGGATCTGAAGCTTAGGAATCACTGTCTGGCAAAAACCCCTGGGTTCACCTCTTACTTAGCTATGCAATCTTGGGGAAATTAACCTCTCAGATTCAGTTTGTCATCTCTCAACTAGGATGGTGATACTATCGATACTATAGGGTAACTGTTTTCTTTCTTTTTTTTTTTTTTTGAGATGGGGTTTCACTCCCATTGCCCAGGCTGGAGTGCAGTGGTGTGGTCTCGGCTCACTGCAACCTCTGCCTCCTGGGCTCAAGCAATTCTCCTGCCTCAGCCTCCAGTAGTAGATGGGACTACAGTGTATGCCACCACACCTGGCTAAGTTTTTTCTATTTTTTTTTTGTAAAGATGGGGTTTCGCCATGTTGCCCACTCCTGGGCTTAAGCGTTCCACCCACCTCAGCCTCCCAAAGTGTTGGGATTACACGCATGAGTCCCTGCACCCAGCCTTCATTTTCTTTTCTTTTCTTTCTTTCTTTTTTTTTTTTTTTTTTCTGAGATGGAGTCTCACTCTGTCGCCCAGGCTGGAGTGTGGAGGCGCGATCTTGGCTCACTGCAACCTCCGCCTCCCAGGTTCAAGCAATTCTTCTGTCTCAGCCTCCAAGTTGCTGGGACTACAGGCACACACCACCACACCCAGCTAATTTTTGTATTTTTAGTAGAGACAGGGTTTCACCATGTTGGTAAGGCTGGTCTTGAACTCCTAACCTTAGGTGATCCACGTGCCTCGGCCTCCCAAAGTGCTGGGATTACAGGCGTGGGCCACTGATGCCATCCCCAGCCTTCATTTTCTTAAGAAACCTTTATTATTATTGTTTTTTAGGGACAAGGTCTTACTATATTGCCCAGGCTGGTCTCAAACTCCTGGAAGATCAAGCGATCTTCCCACCTTGGCCTCCCCAGGAGCTGGGATTACAAGTGTGAGCCACTGTGCTTGGCCCTATACTATAGGGTAGTTGAACACTTTATAGTGCTGGACATAAAAGAGGTGCTCTGGAAATGCGAGTCATTTTTCAGGATGCTATGGGAGCATGGAGGTCAGGGAAGACTCCCTTACGTGCATATGTTCACTTAAGAAAACTCCAGTTCATTGATTTTTGTTCCCATTATTCTACCCTATTGATTTTACCTCCCGGCCCTCCCTTGAACCTGGTATCTCTCTGCTTTACCTCCTTTGGGCTACCATGCCTTTAAAACAAAATCAATACTGCCTCTTCTGCTTTTGAAAAATCAGGGCTCATATCAAAAAGCTATATATCATCTTCATTTAAAGCATTCTTGCAATGTCTGTTAATATGCCAGTTGTCATGTGAAAATGGAAATTTCTTAGTGAGCAGGGACAAAATATTTATTTGAAATTCCTCTAGTTCTGTCCTAGAGGAATGATAAGCCAAGTGGGTTTTCAACACATATTGTTTCTAAAAGGGATATCTGGGGGATGAGTCAGATGCGGTTGGAAGATTTTGGCAGACGTGTCTTTTCCCTGAACCAAGCCCACTCCCACCATCCAGGCCCCGTCTGGGTTGTGACTCTGCAGCAGGCATGGCCGGCCTCCTCCATAACAGAGGATGGACTCCTCTTCATCAGTTTCCCAGTGGAGGAGGCCAGGCTCAAAACCCTAGCAGGCAGCCAAGTCGGGACTGTGCCAGAACAGTAAAAGAATCAAACGCCACAAAGACAGGGCTTCCATCGGCACCTCCTCACCCCTCCCCTGCCTGTCCCTCTCGGGTGCACCTGGCTCTTTGGCCTTTCCTGGAAGCGTAGGATGGGCCTTTGGGCTGTGTGTGCCCTCGGGACCAGTGGCTCTGCAGATCCCCTGCAGCCACACACACGGCACTGTGCAGTGGGAGCTTGGCACCCACAGCACAAGGTCACACCTACCGTGTGTCCCTAGCAGAGCTCCCTAGTGGGGAAGTGTGTAAAGGAAATAACAACCAAGGCTTTGCCATAAACAATGTAAAATATCCGAACTCCTCAACAGAGAGCAGCAGGCAAAGGGAGGCTTTTGAAAGTGGTAATTTGTGGGGGTAAAATGAAACCATCACTCTTCATAACCTGAGAGATGGCCTTCGTCCCACCTCCAGCACCCCCACTCCACCTTTCCCACCTCCCTGACCACTGACCGCAAGTCACTGCTTAGGGAAGCTGGGAAGTAGGCTGCCGTGAGAGCCACAGAAACTCCAGGTTGTGAAGAGCCCTTGAGGATGTCTAAAGGATCCCTCGGAGTTCTGTGCTGAACTGCTAACTGGTATTAGCACCTACTTGCAATTCTTCCTGTGACAGGAAGATCATTCCGTCACAAGACACCCGTTGACTCTGATGGGCAGCCTGGAGTGCCCATTCTCCAGGAATGGAGGTTCGTTCTTACCATAAGTAGAAATCAATCACCCTATACTAGGCATAATTTCTGTATCCATGATACTAGCTCTGGAGAAATGCAGGGGTGCCCTTAAATCATGCATCCTGTTCTATCTCTTGCTTCCTCTGCACCCCTCTCTACCTTCTACTTGTGGCCCCAAAGCTCACACACCCCGTTCTCTTTTCTTTAACCTAATATCCCTGGTTTTCTTGCTGTTTCTCATTCTGTCCCATCTCCCAGGTGCTTTGCCCTCTGGGTCACCAGTCTCTAGGCACACTTCTGACAAAGCTATAGAGACAGGAGCTGTTTCGTCTTCCTGCAGAACCTCCCATCCCCACCCCCAGGGTCTGACTCCCTCCCCACAGATTCTGGCAAAACAAGGATCTATGTCTGCAAGCCAGATGATTGACAGATCCTAGAGACTACCCAGTCGTCTGTGGGTTATGGACCCAGGAGGCACAGAGAAGCCCTTCTGACTCTGTTGAAGGTTTGCTCACCAACTCTTTACCTGAAGGCAACTCTCACCCGTTCCTGAGTGGAAGGATGGGTCTCAACTTCCAAATGGCAGGAAATCCATACATTCCCCCAGTAACACGAGCACGCCTCCCTGGCTGAACTGCTAAGAGACCCCTTAAACAGACAACAGTCCAGCGACTACAGGGGAAAAAGATTCCAGAACGTATTCCAGCTCTGGAGCGACTGTGGGACACAGATATCCAGGCTGCAAAGCAAACGCGAATCTAAACTTCAATGAGGATCAGTTACATAGGGAACGAGATTAATAATTCCATCCAGCAAATTTTAATTTACTGGTGTCTTTTCCTGCTATTATAACATGCTCCTTGTTCAGTTTCCAAAAATTCCAAGGAGGCTCCAGAAGGTTTACTTATGTTTTCCAAAGTGACTCATTTTTGAGATTCTACCAGCGTGAAGAATTTTGACTCCAAGGGAAATAAAATTTAGGACTAAGTAGAAACCAGGACTTGGAAAAGGAATAAGCTAGGCTGGGCGCAGTGGCTCACGCTTGTAATCCCAGCACTTTGGGAGGCCGAGGCTGGTGGATCACCTGAGGTCAGGAGTTCGAGACCAACTAGGCCAATATGGCGAAACCCTGTCTCTACTAAAAATACAAAAAATTAGCTGGGCGTGGTGTTGAGCATCTGTAGTCCCAGCTACTCGGGAGGCTGTGGCAGCAGAATCGCTTGAAACTGGGAGGTGGAGGTTGCAGTGAGCCAAGATTGTGCCACTGTACTCCAGCCTGGGTGACAGAGCGAGACTCTGTCTCAAAAAAAAAAAAAGAAAAAAAAAGAAAAGGAATAAGGTTGCAACCTGGAGTACAATTCCATCCTCATGTACTAGTGCATGGGCACAGAAATCAATTGCACCAGTTCAAGGTGTTCCATACCTTTCTTTCCAACTGATCCCCTGAATATTTCAGCAGCTCAACAATTTTGGCTATTATTTGTTCTTCTTCATCTGTCGGAGAAAATTCCAGTTATTTCTTTTAAGAGAAGCAAAAAACAATCTTACATTTTTCCAGGGACCATGAATGCTTGTGGCTTGGTAAGGGCTGGAGGAAGAGGCATGCTCTTTTTTTGAGACGGAGTTTCGCTCTTGTTGCCTAAGCTGGAGTGTGATGGTGCGATCTTGCCTCACTGCAACCTCCACCTCCCAGGTTCAAGTGATTCTCATGCCTCAGTCTCCCAAGTAGCTGGGATTACAGGCATGTGCCACCACGCCTTCTATTTTTAGTAGAAACCGGGTTTCACCATGTTGGCCAGGCTGGTCTCGAACTCCTGACCTCAGGTGATCCGCCCACTTCGGCTTCCCAAAGTGCTGGAATTACAGGCATGACCCACCGCGCCTGGCAAGAAGCATGTTAATTCTTACCAAGTAAATCTTACTTCGCCTCTTCTGCCCAGACACAAACCACACTAGGGATTTCTCCTACAGCCCCTTCCTTTCCTTCTTTCCCCTTCCTCCTTTGCTCAGTCCCCCAGTTCTCACTGTGACATTCATCTCTATAGTTACCTTAAGCTTGTTGTTGAAGACATCGGTTTCACAGCACAGGATTTCATCTATGAAGATATTTAGGAGGAATATTCTTCTGGTTTTTGGATTTTTCCTCAGCAGATGGTGCTTTTATCTTATGGACACCATCAATCTCATATTTGATTATATTTCCCTCTTTGGGTTAGTTGCTAGAAAGTATAGAGCCAAATTTGTGGCCCACATCTAAGAGAGTGGATTGTCTTGCTGGCCTACATTTTGGAAATTAACCTAATTCCCAAATCCGTCTGATTTTCCTGTGTTTGTTTTCTTTTTACAAAGATATCTTTCAAATTGATGGATTTTATTTGACTCAAATTTATTCTTTGTATGCTGGGTCTTGACAATAGGCTGGGATAAGTAAGTACAATTAATAAATTCCCCCATGGCCAAGGCTGAAAGGGCAGATGGATAGGAACGTGGCCACAGTTGGTGTATGGTGTGTGTTGGGGGGACAGGGGCGGTGGAGTATGTGAGTCTTGCTCCGTCGCACGATCTTGGCTCACTGCAACCTCTACCTCCTGGGTTCAAGTGATTCTCCTGCCTCAGCCTCCCAAGTAGCTGGGACTACAGGTGTGTGCCATCACGCCCAGCTAATTTTTTGTATTTTTAGTAGAGATGGGGTTTTGCTATGTTGGCCAGGCTGGTCTTTAACTTCTGGCCTCAAGAGATCCAACAGCCTCAGCCTCCCGAAGTGCTGGAATTACCCATGTAAGCCACCACACCCAGGCTTGGCAAAATAAATGTTATTCTTCTTCTCTTTTTTTTTTTGAGATGGAGTTTCACTCTTGTCACTCCAGGCTGGAGTGTTGAGATGGAGTTTCACTCTTGTCACTCAGGCTGGAGTGCAGTGGTGTAATCTCAGCTCACTGCAACCTCCGCCTCCCAAGTTGAAGCAATTCTCCTGCCTCAGCCTCCCGAGTAGTTGGGATTACAGGCACCTGCCACTACGCCCAGCTAATTTTTTTGTATTTTTAGTAGAGACAGGATTTCACCATGTTGGCCAGGCTGGTCTTAAACTCCTGACCTCAGGTGATCCACCTGCCTTGGCCTCCCAAAGTGCTGGGATTACAGGCACGAGCCACTGCGCCTGGCCAAAATAAAAGTTCTAAATTGAGTGAGACCTGTCTCAGACATACTGGGTTAACACTCTCTCAGGGAAAGTTGCTGGCACAGCTGCCTGTATTTCTCCTGTGCAGAGGATGAGGTCATCTTAGCTTTCGCTTGGGTTAGGGGTAGCATTCCATCTCCCAGGTCCACGTGGGATAGCAATAAAATGTCGACACTGTCTTTTTAGCTGACTCAGAGGCCTCCTCCTGTCCTCCAGCTCCTCACACGGTCCCCTGGGTCTCTGTGGCAGCTGTGGCCCCTTTACTGTGGCTACTGCTCTGCATCAGGGGTTGGGAGACACCGATACCTTTGGAGGGAGAACCTTCACCTTGTTCTTTAGGGTGCTGCAAACCCAAGAGCCACCTTGGCCTCACTGTTAGAGGAGTTAAAAAGGAATTTTTTAGGCAGATAGCGAGGGTAAAGAAGTTCTCGGTCAGGTTTTTCTTTTAATGAAAAGCAGCCCCCAAATCATTTTCTTTTCTAATAAAGAGTAGCCTGTAAAATTGAGTTGCAGACATAGACAAGCAAGCTAGAAGCTTGCACAGTGAATGTTGGCAGCTGTGCCAATAGGAAAAGGCCACCTGGGACTAGGCATGTCCAACATGGCAGCCGCATTTTCTCTTTTCCTTTCCAACCACGTGTGCTGTAGGGAGCAGACAACATGGCACCGGCCAAGTGGCAAGCCCACTTACATAATAAGATTAGGGTGGGGTGGCCAGCTTCCCCCATGCTATGTAAACGTCACACCTGGTTCAACTGATCTTTGGGCCCTGTGTAAATCAGACACCACCTCCTTAAACCTGTCTATAAAATCCGGTGCACTCTCACAGGCCGGAAGTCACGTTTGGGTTCCCCTCTCTGTCGCAGGAGAGAGAGCTGTTCTCCTTTCTCTTTGTTTTGCCTATTAAACCTCTGCCCCTAAACCCACTTCTTGTGTGTGTCCGTGTCCTCGATTCTCTTGGCATGAGACAACAAACCTCAGGTATTTATCCCAGACAATGAGGCTGCATCATCACAACCTCCACGGTAGTTTGTGGAGAGAGCCAGGAGCAAGAACTGTGGTGGGGGAATGCCGGGCAGAGCTTCTCTTCCAGTGGCACTTGGCCTTGCTCCCCTTCACTCTCCCCTCAGTGCCTCGAGTTATCACCAGCCTGATGGGATCTACAGTCTCACCTATTGCTATGGTTTGGGTGACAACTGACCCAGCCTTGTCACTACTTCTCAGTTCCACTCCATGTCTTGCACCATAGCTGGTGCCTGACAACCCCCTGCTTTTTCACAAAGCCCGAAAGCAATGTCATAATATAAATCCCTGGCTTGACGCTCCAACTGTACCTGGTGCAAATTGGCCCGGGGTCACTGGTAACATGATCAGATCTAACACTGCATTTCCCGCCACAGACAAGGCTGAATGCGGGCTTTGTGTCTACTCCTCTCCCTCTGTAGGAGACTTTCCTTTCTGACTTAGCAAAGAGCTGGGCGTATTGGTTCAACCTGCTGGGGCAGCCCCCTTGCCTTGGGCTGGTGTCTCAAGCTGGAGCTCACTGCCCACAGCCTGTGGCTGTCAAGCCCTCAGTCCAGGCAGCAGGGTCTGTCAAGTTGCCAGGCCCGGGATGGATAAATACACAAATGCTCCTGCGCCGCTGCCTGGCAAACACTCCACCCGGGGAAGGAAAGCTTACCTTTCTTAGAACTTGAAGCTATAGGCAGGTGGTCTTTGAGCTGGGAGGAGCGACCCTGAAGTACGAAAGTCTCTTTGGACTTGAAGCCTCCTGCCTGGGTCTCTTGTGGTGGTGGCCACGAATAAACAATTTCAGCCACTCGGTTGGCAATGGAAACGACTTTGGGGTCCACAGCTGAAACAAGATAAAATGGTGCTGAGAGGCCCTTCCCAGAACTTCATCTGGCTCATTGGTATGCAAAGTTGCCCGGAATGAAAAGACCAGCCCAGAATAGAAGGAAACTGCCTGGGAGTATGTGTGCTGGGGGAGGGTCGTTCTTCAGAAAGGACTGAAAGTTGCCTGGCAGAGGCCGGCATGTGGGAGGGGTGCACGCAGGAATGATTGTCACCTTGAAACAATTGGCCTTCTGCACACTCTTTTTGAAGTCTTGCAAAATTAGGGTCTCCTTTCCCCTTTGCAAGGGAAGAAACACAAAAAGGAGTGCTTAGCTCTTTACTTCAAGGAATGCTCATTATGCTTTTATTTTTATTCTTTTTTCTCGACATGCTTTATACCTCTAAGAGCCAGCCCCTACGTGCATAGGAGGACATTCAATAGTTTGACAAGCATCTGGGGGTTGGTCACTGAGGAAAGAAATATCCCTGCTCTCAGGGCAATGAGATTCATCATCCAAGTCCATTATCAAGTGAAGCTAATTCCCATCGCTGGTACAGTCCTGCCTTTTCTCTCCCCTCCATGTCTACTGGAAAACATTCAATTAATGCTTACAGGTAAACAAGGATGCAGTCAGCACAACTTATGGCCTTCAATAATGTACAACCCGAGAAAAGAGTTACGTCATGTATTTGCACACAGGATTGTAGAATAAAGCACTTTGAGATAGGACGGTGAAATGGCACTGGCCCATTGAATATTGTAGCCTATAAAAGACCAGTTGCCTGTGCCCCTGAATGGGGACAAGGGGAGGTGGGGTGGGCAAATGGCACGGCTGAGTTGCTGGGTGGTAAAATTTTTGCTGTTGATTTGTCACCAAGTTCTAACCTTTTATTTGTTTATTTACTTTTTTCCAGACTGAGTCTCACTGTCACCCAGGCTGGAGTGCAGTGGTGTGATCACAGCTCACTGCAGCTTGGACTTCTCAGGCTCAAGCGATTCTCCCATCTCAGCCTCCTGAGTAGCTGGGATGACAGGTGTGCATCACCACATCTGGCTAATTTATTGAAATTCTTTTTCTAGAGATGGGGTCTCCCTATGTTGCCCAGGTTGGTCTTGAACTCCTAAGCTCAAGCAATCCTCCCACGTCCTAGCTCCCAAAGCGCTAGGATTACAAGGATGAGTCACCACCACACCCAATCTAACTTCTAAACGTTTAAAAACTTGTACAATCTGTCTTGGATGCCGTGTGGAGCAGCTGGGTTTTACCATGTAACATTTGAAGTATAGTACTAGGTAATTCACAGGACTTGAAGACAGTAATGGAGTGGCGTTTTGGACAGAAGGTTGGTGTGCTCAAACTCCTAGGGCACTCCTGGGCTTTGTACAGCCCAGTAGGTAAGAGAGGCAAGTAGAGGGCCTGGGAGGGACTGAGACACAAGAGAAACAGGTTTTGACATCATACGGAGCTGCCAAGGTGGCTCCTGATCCCTCTCCCTAGATTCCTCCACAGCCTAAGGCGTCAGTGTCCTCTCTTCAGCCCTCCAGCCATTCACGGAAAGGCCACAGAAGATAATGCTCTGTCCATGATGCCATCCTCTGGTGGACATCTGACTCCTAAAGCCATCTTTTTCATGGTTAGTCTACAGGGTTCAAAGACCGATAAGAAGCGAATGACGGAGAGAAGAAAGGTCAAGAAGAAAAGGATCGATGTCTTTCCTCCTCATTTTAAGAACCAAGCAAAACAGACTTTCCACTTTGTCATCCCCTTATTGCAGCCCAACCAGCCTCCGCTGGATCTCCGGCCACCCATGGCCCCTGGCAAAGAAAGAAATGGCAAGAGGCTGGCTTCCAAAACCGAGGGAACCTTCCCTGGCCCGTGTCCTCAGGAGATGATAAAGGAAAGCAGGCCTCTGCTGCCTTTACAACCTTGTGCAGCTCATCTAGGGTGATCAGCATGTGGTTCTACCACCGGAAAGCACCCTGTGCCCATCTTGCACATTAAGAAGGTCCATGAAGGGTCTCAAAGGCTCTGTCCCCTCCTCCCCTCATAAGGCAGGGTAGCCACAACATCACCAACAGGTACAAAATTACCCAATCTGGCTAACTGTGTACAGGGTATGGATTTTTTTTTCTTCCAAGACAGAGTCTCGCTCTGTTGCCCAGGCTGGAGTGCAGTGGCGTGATCTTGGCTCACTACAACCTCCGCCTTCTGGGTTCAAGCCATTCTCCCTTCCTCAGTCTCCTGAGTAGCTGGGATTACAGGTGCCCGCCACCATGCCCAGCTAAGTTTTGTATTTTTTCAGTAGAGACAGGGTTTTGCCATGTTGGCCAGGCTGGTCTTGAACTCTTGACCTCAGATGATTCTCCCGCCTCAGCCTCCCAAAGTGCTGGGGTTACAGCAGGGTATTGATTTTCTATGGGTTTGTGGACATGGAGTAAGACATGTCCAGGAGAAACTATAAGCAAACATGTTCCCACAGATTCACTAGCTCTAGTTAAAATTCCCATCTTGGATATTTTCATTTTAAAACATGAAAAAGAAAAGATTCTATTCTTGTCAGACTTGGTCCTGTCTGATAGGCGAGGGAACATTGGATGGGGTGGGGAAAAGACAGAAAGGCTGTCTGTTCTTTGGAGTCTGTTTGGGGGTCATTGTGGGACCAGGAAGAACAGGCCAACGGGGTCAGAAGGTCCCATTTCGCCTGTAGTCTGAGGCATTTGTTTTAAAGAGAAAGGGCAGGGGTTTGGGGTGTGACTTCCTTATGGACTGTTCTTTCCCACTCAGTATCCACTTTCTTCTTCTTCCTTAGTAACAGACCCCTAAAATGTGAGGGGCAGCTGTGAACCCAGCTGAACAAACTATATTCCCCGGGCTCCCTTGCAGTAGGGAAGGGCCAGTGAGATGTCAGAAGCTGGGAGCAGTTTCAAGAAAGCTCTCTAAAAGGGAACTGAGGCTGGGTGCAGTGGCTCACGCCTGTAATCCCAGGCTTTTGGGAGGCCAAGGCAAGGTCATCATTTCAGGCCAAGAGTTCGAGACCAGCCTGGGTAACACGGACCCCATCTTTACAAAAGATAAAATAATAATAATAATAAAACAAAAGGGAGCGAATTACCTAGAAAGAAGGCACCCTTTGCCCTTCCTTTGCTTCCTTTTTATTCCTGCCTGAGAGGTAGACATGATGGGTGAAGCTCGAACAGCCACCTTTAGAATATAAGGTGACTTTGAGGTGGAAGCCACAAGCTGAGAGAAGGCAGAATTCCCAGCAATTCTTGTTTTCACCCCTGTCACCCAAGCTGGAGTGCAATAGTGCAATCTCAGCTCACTGCAACCTCTGCCTCCCAGGCTCAAGTGATTCTCCTCCTTTAGCCTCTCGAGTAGCTGAGACTACAGGCGCAATTTTTGTATTTTTTTTTTAGAGAGACAGGATTTTGTCATGTTGCCCAGGCTGGTCTCAAACTGTTTGGCTCAAGCGATCCACCCACCTCAGACTACCAAAGTGCTGGGATTACAGGCATGAGCCACCTTGCCTGGCCATTCCCAGGAATTCTTAATAACTTTGTGAAGCTGTCATATCAGGCCTGAGCTGCCAAAATTTTGTCCTCTTGTAAGGGAGAGAAAAACAAACCTGTATATTATTTAAGCCATGGGTATTTGGGTGTGCCATTGTATATCGCCAAACCTCACCTTAACTATGACATTCCACATGAGCAAATCATAGCTATGGAGAAACAAAAGGTTCACAAGTAAAAGAGCCTGGGCTGGCAGTCTTTAAAACTAGTGTTGATGTCCATTTCTCTACATCCCGAGGCCTCTTCCTAACATAATTTGGTCTTGGGACATAATCTCACAGTTCCCACGTAAGCCTGGTATGGAGGCCTGGCAGTGGCTGCACAAGGCTACATAGTGACCTTCAGTTAAAATAACCCAGGTGAGGTCAGGCGTGGTGGCTCAAGCCTGTAATCCCTGCACTTTGGGAGGCTGAGGCGGGCAGATCACGAGGTCAGGAGATGGAGACCATCCTGGCTAACAGGTGAAACCCTGTCTCTACTAAAAATACAAAAAATTAGCCGGGCGTGGTTGTCGGGAGCCTGTAGTCACAGCTACTCGGGAGGCTGAGGCAGGAGAATGGCGTGAACCCGGGAGGCGGAGCTTGCAGTGAGCCGAGGTCGCACCACTGCACTCCAGCCTGGGCGACAGAGCGAGACTCCGTCTCAACAACAAACAAACAAAAACAAACAAAAAAGAACCCAGGACAAATCCAATTTGTGAGGCCTGATTTGTATGTGGCAAAATAGAAATAGAATGTGAGGCTCTTTTGGATCACGCCCAGTGTAAAACCAACACAAGTATCACAAGTAAAAAACACGTAATTAACTGACTGAATGCAAAAGCGAGGAGAAAAGTGAGACGGGAAGATAAGCTCTACAGATGTGTTGAAAGCCTTCTTAGGAGGCCATCATTTTTCATTTTGTATGGAGAACATTTTTCAGCCACAGGTACCATTCAGCACATTAACACATCACCTGAGTGTTTCTGAATTTAATCTTTAATTCTCAATCTCACACAGAAGTTTTCTTTCCCTACTGAAAAAAGAAAGAAAAGCTTCTCTTGAAATTTTAGAAAATAAAAAAATGTCAAATGACACTCCAGTAAATATTGAAATACAGAATGCAGTTTATCTCAGGAAAAATCGGAAGCTGAAAGTCTGTAAAACTTTCTCTGTCTGCTGGCAAAGTCCACAGTACAGGCCAAGTAGAAAAGGCCATTTCGGTGCCTCCAAACTGTTCTTTGCCCCAGAGCCCAGATGCCACCCCGGGCAGAAGGAGCTGTGGCTGGGTGAGGGTGGCTGAGGGGTGGGGAGGCAGGTGTGGAGGGGAGCACCCCAGGGGGCCACTCCCTCTTGCTCTAGACCTGCCTCAGCTGGGCAGAGTTCAGAGAGCAGATGCCTTGCTGTGAAAGTTAAACAAGTCCAGGGAGAGGCCTGGACTTCCAGTGAGTCCAGGCTCTGCTACTTCCTGGCTGTTTCCTTGGTAAGCCCGTTTTGTAGGACTCTCGTGTCCTCATCCTGTCTGTGCCATAAGGTTCCCCCAGATGATCTGACCATAACTCCCACTGTTTTCAACATCTGAAACTCTAATGGGAAACGGGAGTTTCCTTGATCGTAGTGGATGATCTAAAGCTGCCTATGAGTGGGCTGATTCTCCAAGCAAGCCAGGACTGTCACATTTGAAAACTGAGACATTACTGCCACCTCTTGACTACGTATTGACAAGTTACCCAGGCCAATGAAAGCCAGCAGGAGGGGCCCTTTCCTTTAAAATCTGAGTTTCACGGTCGGGCCCGGTGGCTCACACCTGTAATCCCAGCATTTCGGGAGGCCAAGGCGGGCAGATCACGTGGTCAGGAGTTCGAGACCAGCCCGACCAACATGGTGAAACCCTGTCTCTACTGTCTCTACTAAAAACAGAAAAATTAGCCAGATCACGTGGTCAGGAGTTTCGAGACCAGCCCGACCAACATGGTGAAACCTGTCTCTACTGTCTCGCCTAAAAAACAGAAAATTAGCCGGGCGTGGTGGCTGATGCCTGTAGTCCCCAGCTACTCAGGAGGCTGAGGCAGGAAAATTGCTTGAATCTGGGAGGCGGAGGTTGCGGAGAGCCAAGATTGCACCACTGCACTCCAGCCTGGGTGACAGAGCAAGACTCTATCTAAAAAAAAAAAAAAAAAAAAAAATCTGGGCTTCGGGCACTGGGCTTTGTTGAAGGAGAAGAAGATGCTTATACCAAGGTGTGCACATGAAGGACAATTGTCTGTTTTTTTGAGACAGAGTCTCATTACGTCACCCAGAGCTGGGGTGCAGTGATGTGATCTTGGCTCACTGCAGCCTTGACCTCCTGAGCTCAAGTGATCCTCCCACCTCAGCCTCTGTAGTATCTGGGACAACAGGCATGTGCCACCATGCCTGGCTAATTTTTTTATTTTAATTTTTTATGGAGACAGGGCCTTGCTATGATGCCAGGCTGATCTCAAACTCTTCGCGTCAAGTGATCCTCCTGCCTTGGCTTCCCACAGTGCTGAGATTATAGACATGATGGGCTCTCACTCTGTCACCCAAGCAGGAGTGCAGTGGCGCCATCTTGGCTCACTGCAACCTCTGCTTCCCAGGCTCAAGCCATCCTCCCACCTCAGCCTTCTGAGTAGCTGGGACCACAGGCTTGCACCCCCGTGTGTGACTCATGTTTTCATATTTTTTGGTAGAGACGGGTTTTGCCATGTTGCTAAGGCTAGTCTTGAACTCCTGAGCTCAAGTGATCCCCGCACCTTGGCCTCCCAAAGTGCTGGGATTACAGGTATGAGCCTCAGCACCTGGTGAAAATATTTCATTCAGTACAATTAATTTTGTCCAACCGAGGGAAGATTTTGTCAAAATGCTTCTCAGTTGTTTTTGTAGGATGGTTTGTACTTTGTCGGGAGTCCTTTTACTCTTGCTCTCTGATCTTCCCATCAACCATACGAGGTGGAGAGAGTGGGATACCCAATGTACAGATGGAAACACAGAGGCCCTGAGCGAATGAGTTGACTTAGGAAGAGCAGCGGCCCAGGCAGCCCAAGCAACCCCCTGGTTAGGACTCCTCCATTTTTTTTTTTTTTTTTTTTTTTTTGAGACAGAGTCTCACCCTGTAGCCCAGGCTGGAGTGCGGTGGTGCGATCTCAGCTCACTGCAACCTCCGCCTCCTAGGTTCAAGCGATTCTTTTGCCCCAGCCTCCTGAGTAGCTGGGAACACAAGCATGCGCCACCATGCCCGGCTAATTTTTTGTATCTTTAGTAGAGACAGGTTTTCACCATGTTGGTCAGGCTAGTCTCGAACTCCTGACCTCGTGATCTGCCCACCTCAACCTCCCAAAGTGCTGGAATTACAGGCGTGAGTCACTGTGCCTGGCCTCCTTCTTTTATATGAGTATCTAGTACAGAGGATTAGGAATTTGGGAGACAAGCTTATTTATAGACGGTGAAGAAAGAAAACCAGTCCCATCACCCTTAAGTTCCATCATTCTCCTTTTAGTCTTGAGAAAAGCAGGGCAATTAGGATTGAACACTAATAAGTTGGAAAGCTGAGATATAATGCGTGCCCTCTCTAAAGCCACTTTACAAGATGAGAAGAGATGTACCACTCTGGACGCAAAGAGGGGAAAAACTAGGATGCGGGAGAGAAATAAATCCCAGATGCCTACCTTCATGCTCCAAGCACTGTTCCACGCTGGAAAGAGACCTGGACCACTGCTGGCTGTGCAAACCTTGGGATTCCAATGTCCTTTGACCCTGAGCAGAGATCTTGGCAGGCGAGCTCTGCGAATCTTCCTTCTCCACTACTCCAAAGAGTGCTTTCCAAGAAGACTTTTTCTTGCCAAGGTTGATGGCCTTTTCACTGGATTGGGAATTTCTGCAAGGCCATGACACCTGTGTCCATGACTCATTTGCTGACCAATTCCCCAGGCCCCTCTGGGACAAACTTCTTGTTCTCAGCAGCTTTGGCGAGAAGAGAGCAGGGGTGCTCTTGAAGACATGGTGTCTGGCGTAGTAGGCGAGGATTTTGAATTCTATGGTGTTTAGGTCATCATCATCTAGGGGGATTTCTTCCAGGTCACACGCACTGGTGCTACACATGTTGGGCCTGTAACAACAAAGTCCACACTGTGTCCTTCTATGCAGGGCCATTTACTCTTTGCAGGTTAGGAGTGACAGGGGTGAAAACTCAGTAAACATTTATTGAACGTCTATTGTGTTTGTGCTGGAGGGTAGAGAGGGAAAGGTCACAGTCTTACTGGGGTGGGAAGAGAGACAAGGCCATAGATAACTCCACACAAAGAAAATGAACTACCAGGTGTGGTGGCTCATGCCTGTAATCCCAACACTTTGGGAGGCCAAGGCGGGTGAACCACGAGGTCAGGAGTTCAAGAGCAGCCTGGCCTATACAGTGAAACCCTGTCTCTACTAAAGATACAAAAATGAGCCAGGCATGGTGGCGCATGCCTATGGACCCAGCTACTTGGGAGGCTGAGGCAGAAGAATCGCTTGAACCTAGGAGTTGGGGCTTGTAGTGAGCCGAGATTGCGCCACTGTACTCTAGCCTGGCGACAAAGCGAGACTCCATCTCAAAAAAAAAAAAAAAAAAAAAAGAGAATGAACTAATGAACTAAGTAAGAGGTCTAACAGAGATGCAGAAAGCCAGCTGAGAAGGCAGGGATAGGTGAGCTTCAAAGAAAGAGGCAAGTGAAAGCTTTTGGAAAGTTAGAAGGAGTTAAACAGGTGGGTGGATATTGGGGCTAGAACAGGGTGGGCAGAGGGGAGATTATAGGTGAATTCAGAATGTGTTTGAAGAGTGGTGAGAGAACTGCGACAGCATACGTAAGCAGTTTGCAAATAGCCAGGGCTTGAAAAGAGTGGAGGGAAAATAAGTGAACTAGCACTTGCGTCCAGATTATGGTGGTCTTCGACTATCAGGCTGAAGCTTCGCCTTTTCTCACGTTGATCAGTATGTTTCAAAAGGAGCTGTGGACTGTGGAGTTAAAGATCTTGCTAGGGAGTTGGCAAAAGAGGGAGGCCAACTCAGGGAAGAGAAATGCCTGGGACCTGACCCTTCCCTTCCTCGGTTCCTTCTCCCTCTACCCTCTGCTTTAGCTTGTCCAGGCTTCTCTCTCCCCTCTCTCTGTCTTTCTTTTTTCTTGCTATATTTGGTATGCCATGTAAGATTTCATCTGAAAAAAGCATCCTGTTATTTTATTTTACTTTTTACGAATTTGAAACACACTGATGGAGGCAATGGAGAGCTGTTCAAAGTTTTTAATAGAGTGATGTGATCACAGGCATGTTTTAAAAAGATCAGTACAAGCACTGAAACAACAGGATGCAAGCATTTTGTCTTTATTTCCATACGAATAACAGGATAGATAAAGAACTGATTTTGTTCAATTTCCTTGGCTTAAGCTTACATGAAATAACTCCTTCTCTGGGTTTCCTGCTAGGAAAGCAGTTCTTTTTGCTAATAATCTGTTTCCTTCTGCTGTCTGCTCAGGACTACATTTTCCTTTTTGTCTCAGATGCGAGAAAGCCCAGATCTACCATGTGAAATGTCCCAGGCAGTGAGTGTATCAAGAATTAGCATGGGTTTCTCAGTCTAATAGTCCCAAATTCAGATTGTGGCCATGCCAGTGACTAGTTTTGTGACATGTGGCAGGTTACTCTACCTCTCCAAACATGAACTTCCTATAGGCAAATTGCAAAAAATAATAGTCACCTTGCACAGATATTGTGAGGGTGTAAGGTACACAAGAGAAGTCCTTGCACAGAACCTGGCTCAAAAGTGGTAGTTACGTTTTTTTCTAGTTCAGCTGTTGTCCTTGGCCCTCGGGCTCTTTTTTTTTGAGACTCAATTTTGCTCTATTGCCCAGGCTGGAGTGCAGACTGTAGCTCACCACAGCCTCAACCTCCCCAGCTCAAGGGATTCTCTCACTTCAGCCTCTCAAGTAGCTAGGACCACAGGCACACGCCACCACACCTGGCTACTTTTTTTGTTTTGTTTTTTAGAGACGAGGTCTCGCTCTGTTGCCCAGCTGGTGTCAAACTCCTGGGCTCAAGTGATCCACCTGCCCCAGCCTCCCAAAGTGCTGGGATTCAAGTGATCCACCTGCCCCAGCCTCCCAAAGTGCTGGGATTACAGCCATGAGCCACCATGCCCGGCCTCAGGCTTTGTCTTAATATGGCTCTTAATCATGTTCCCTTCCGTTCCTGGTCCTAATTCAAGACCATCTTTCGGCATGTAAGCTGGTGTGATGGTAAAGAAGCTGCAGCGATATTAAGGGGATTGGCTGGCATGTTTCTCTTTTTCTTTCCACCGTACCCTGTCATACCAGGACCAAATTATAAACAAATGGGACAGTAACTGGAGACAGGGTTTGAGGCAATGTAAGGCGGTACAGACAAATTGACCTGGGTGTCTGAAGGACGAATGGCCAGGACTGGCTCAGCTTCTAACTTGCAACATCCTTGGGCAAGTCACTCCATCTTTTTGTCCCTCGGTGTCCACATTATTGATAGAATGAGGATATTCTCTAACTTTTCCCCCTGGTTCTGCTATTAGAAGGAGGTGTAGGAGCTGAAATATCTCCCCTAAGGGCCTGCTAGATGCTGCCTGTTTCCATCACTGTATCCTCTCCTTTACTTAGAAGAGGCTCATACTGGCTGATAGCGAAGCCGTTTATCTGAGGAACTGCTCCTTGGCCAGGCCCCAGGGAAGCGAGGGTCCCTGGCTAGGTGCGTGCTGATGGAAGCGACCCTGGGAGGGATGCAGGGGTCTACGCCACAACATCAGGTGACGAGGGAGGGGACAGAAATGGCTCTCCCAGTGTAGCAAAGGGCAAGTTGCAAAACCCGCCAGACCAACTACACAGACACAATTACACAACCTGCAAGCCCCATGAACCCCCCTCATATAACTGAATGTAAGCAAATGCTTGAGGAGTATGGCATGAAGTGGGGGTCATGACCGCCATCCTTCCTCCCCCTCTGCTGTTTCTTCACATTCCTGTCTTATTCCAGGGCTTGGACAATCTTTCTTCCCGCCACTGCTCCAATTTCACATTCACTTACATGCTTTTCACTCACATGCAAACCGTTTGCTCTGTCGGGAGTCACGTCAACGTCTCCTCAAAGGTCACGTTCCTTCCTGCTTTTCCACTTACCCCTTCCCGCTCCCCAATTCCATCCAAGCCACCCTCCCCCATGCATTTTCCAGTCATCCCACCCTCCCCTCATCCATCCCCGCAGTGCAGCCCTGTCCATTCTGCCTGTAAGGGACATCTGGTGACCCTATACTCACCCCAGCTCCACTTCCCTGTTCCCAATGACCAATCTTGGTCTCACTAAAGATGAGACAACCATTATGTGTCTCCTGATCCAAAAACACTGGATCCAAATCTGATCAAACCTCTGGATCTAATGATCAGTTTACAGGAAATACAGGGGACAGAGAAATAAGCTAACGACCACAAGAAGGCAGCTATCCAAATTCAGTATGTGGTAAATTCTGCAAGACAAATGGCCAGTTTCTTCAACAAATAAATAGCACCAAAAAGAGGTGAAGACAGAGAACTGCTACAGCTTAAAAGAGACGTAAGAAACATATCCGACAGGGCACGATGACTCACGCCTGTAATCCCAGCACTTTGGGAGGCCAAGGCGGGTGGATCACCAGAGGTCGAGAGTTCGAGAGCAGACTGACCAACATGGAGAAACCCTGTCTCTACTAAAAATACAAAATTAGCCAGGCATAGTGGTGCATGCCCGTAATCCCAGCTACTCGGGAGGCTGAGGCAGGAGAATCACTTGAACCTGGGAGGCGGAGGTTGCGGTGAGCCAAGATTGTGCCATTGTACTCCAGCCTGGGCAACAAGAGTGAAACTCTGTCTCAAAAAAAAAAAAGAAAAAGAAAAAGAAAAGAAACATAACAGGCAGGGCACGATGGTTCATGCCTGTAATCCCAGCACTTTGGGAGGCAGGAGTTCAAGATCAGCATGGCCAACATGGTGAAACCCCGTCTCTAAAAAAATACAAAAATTAGCTGGGCATGATAGCGGTGCCTGTAATCCCAGCTAGTTGGGAGCCTGGGGCAGGAGAATTACTTGAACCTGGGAGGCAAAGTTTCCAGTGAGTGGGGATCGTACCATTGCATTCCAGCCTGGGTGACAGAGGGAGACTCCGTCTCAAAAATAAATAAATAAATATAAAGAAAAAAAGAAACATATATATATATATAAAAGGAAAGGTCAATTAGATATCATGAGTGGATCTTTATTAAATCCTAATTCAAACATACTTACTGTATAAAGACGTAGATATCTTTGAGATGATAGAGAACTAAACATGGTGTATATTTTAGATGATATTAAGGAAGTATTGATCATCTTGGCTGGCACCGTGGCTCACACCTGTAATCCCACCACCTTAGGAGGCCAAGGTGGGAGGATCACTTGAGGCCTGGATTTGGAGACCAGCCTAGGCAACAAAGTAAGATCCCATCCTTCTTTTTTAAAATTTAAAATTATAAATATTTTTTAAAAAGATAATCTCATTAAATGTGGTAACATTGCCATTAAAAAGTACATATCTGGGCTGGGTGCAGTGGCTCACGCCTGTAATCCTAGCACTTTGGGAGGCCGAGGTGGGCAGATCACTTGAGGTCAGGAGTTCAAGACCAGCCTGGCCAACATGGTGAAACTCCGTCTCTACTAAAAATACAAAAATTAGCCAGGTGTGGTGGCACATGCCTGTAATCCCAGCTACTTGGGAGGCTGAGGCTGGAGACTCTCTTGAACCCAGGAGGTAGAGGTTGCAGTTAGCTGAGATGGTACCACTGCACTGAGTAACAGAGTCAGACTCCATCTCAAAATAATAATAATAATAATAATAATAATAAAGAAAATAAATTAAAAGGTACATATCTGCAAGTATATATAGTATATATGTATATAAAAACAAAGTAGACATACTGTAAGATACGAAGGCGGGACTTTGGCTGGCTTCCCCAGCACCTAGAATAGCGCTTGATGCTGTACTGACTGGGCTATCCGGGTTATCTAGAGTAGCGCTTGACACATGGTAGGTGCTCAGATATCTGATGACTGACCAGATGATTGATTATAGGACTGCCAGACACATTCAGAATACAGGACACGTCCGATCACATTTGAAGTTCAGATAAAGAGCAAATAATTTTTTAGTATATGTCCCAAATATCATGAGACTCATATATCATAAATATTAGTATATGTCCCCAATAAATATTATATGCTAAAAACCACTCATATTTGTTGTTTATCTGACATTCAAACGTAACTGGCTGTCTTGCATTTTTGCTTGCTAACTCTGGCTCCTCCTAGGAGTGGAAGCTGTGGCTGAGATACACTGAGACCTGAGGTGTGTGCAAGCAGCAAAGCGGGTCACCAAGCCGGGTGAGGCTCTGGCAGGGTCTGTGGTCAGAATTAGGTACGGCAGACTTGGTGGGGAAAAGGCGGAGTCTAGCAAGAGACCGGATATGGAATTTCTCAGGAGAGGATTCATGAGGCTTTTGATTCAAGGCTTCCTTTTGGACTGAGCGGCACAGGGTACTGCAGGAAGGATGTGCACCCTGGTCCTTCAGGAACTGTGTCCTTGGGTAGGAGGCTGTGCCCCCTCGTCAAGCCAGTAACGCTGTGCTCCTGAAGAAATCTCCATGTACCTTAGAAACAATCCAGACCTTTTGAATGTAACGCGAGGGCTTTAAAATTGTGTGTGTGTGTGTGTGCCTGTGTGTGTGTGTGTGTGTGAGAGGGGTGTTGTCGTTGGAGAGAGGGCTTCTTTAAGAACAAGTTTGCTAATGCCGTTTCAGCAGCAACATCAGAAATCGGGGAAACCACTGAGGTCAAGATGGAGTACTTAGTCCTTCCATTCCGTAAAATGTGAGATTTTTGTTGTCTTACAGGCTAGAAAGGCTGTGACTTGGCCCGGCCGACAGGCAAAGCTAAGGATGAAAGAGGATGAGAGAGAGGCGGAAAGAACAGTGCTTAGGAGCCAGCCCCAGAAGGAGGCTACCCTACAGCGCAGGGAGGGCGGGGGCCACTGCCATAAGAGCCAGGAGAACAGGGAGCAAAAGAGAACAAAAGGAGACAAAAGGGTTAAGAGGGTTTAAATGTATTTAACAAATGCAGATGCCGGACCCAGCGGCTCACACCTGTAATCCCAGCACTTTGGGAGGCCCAGGGGCAGGATCGCTTAAGCCTAGGAGTTCAAGACCAACCTTGGCTCTGTCTCTACAAAAAATGAAAAAAATTAGCTGGGCATGGTGGTGTGCACCTGCAGTCCCCGCCACTTGGGAGGCTGAGCAGAGAGAATCACTTGAGCCTGAGAGCCGGAGGCTGCAGTGAGCTATGATCACGCCATATGATCTGTTGTCTGGAGCCTCCCCTTCTGCCCTTCTCCTCTCCCCCTCACTTCAGACCTCTCAGGGTCTTCGTGCCTTCTGCCCGGACTGTACCCGGACTGTACACCCGGTGTACTCCAGCCTGGGTGGCAGAGGGAGACACTCTCTCAAAAATCAGAAATAAAGAAAAAACAAAAAACCCACCCACACAAACATAGAATTTTTGTTTCTTCTAATCCTCGTTATAAATTACTTGTTCAGTTTACAGCTAAGTCTTACTTTCAAGCAGCAGCAATCGAGTATTATCACAGGTTAGATCCCTTCTGCTTTCAGCTGTTCCTACAGAAATTGTACTTTATCCAAGAAGCCCAACTTTGGGGTTTACGGAAATGTAAACCATAAGTTTTATGCTTATGGTGATAGAAGCTCCGGGTAGGGCCCCTGAGTGCTGGTCCAGAACCTGGAGGGGAGATTTCCGTTCCTGAGTGAAACCCGTGAGGCTTATTCTAATTCAGGGCCGCAGAGCACACAACCGCGCCTCACTGCCCCGTTTACCTTCCTGCTCCTTATCTATAACAAACCTGCACTCTCAGAAGCGAGGCTACAGAGGTTCTTTTCTTGGCCTCTTTCCCTCCCCGAGGTGGCCAGGGTCCTCCACGTCTGGTACCAGCGTGGCCTTTGGGAACACTGGCTGCCTGGCCGGATGTGCTGAGAGGCCGGCTGGGAAGGCCACGCCGCAACAAGCACCTACATTCCAGGTATTGGCAGCTGCACTGTCGCAGGGTTCTCGCTCTGCGGACTCACTTGTTGAGGTCAGATTTCACTTCCCTCCCAGTGGGTGGCAGCTAATGATGGATGACCACACAGAGGAAACTGTAGCAAGCACCTCGTGTTTCCACACACAGAGGTGGCCACCACCTAGTGCCCCAGTTACGCCGGACACCTGGTTTGCTGTGCCTCTGCCTGTCCCAGTGGTGAGGGGTGTGGAGAACCCTTTGGCGGCTGTCCCAGCAGAAGAGCTGACTTCATGTGCTCAAGACACACAATTGAGGCCTGAGAGGATCTTGTGGACACTCATCCCCACGGAGCCTCCCACAGCACATCCTAAGCTCAGCTTGGTTCTGTTGTCTGGAGCCTCCCCTTCTGCCCTTCTCCTCTCCCCCTCACTTCAGACCTCTCAGGGTCTTCGTCCTGGACGGTTCTTTTTTTTTTTTTTTTTTTTTTTTTTGAGACGGAGTCTTGCCCTGTTGCCTAGGCTGGAGTGCAGTGGTGCAATCTCGGCTCACTGCAAGCTCTGCCTCCCAGGTTCACGCCATTCTCCTGCTCTGCCTCCCGGGTTTACGCCATTCTCCTGCCTCAGCCTCCCGAGTAGCTGGGACTACAGGCGCCCGCCACCAGGCCCGGCTAATTTTTTGTATTTTTAGTAGAGACGGGGTTTCACCAGGTTAGCCAGGATGGTCTCGATCTCCTGACCTCATGATCCGCCTGCCTTGGCCTCCCAAAGTGCTGGGATTACAGACGTGAGCCACCGCACCTGGCCCAGACTGTTCTTTAATACTAAAGGTGAAATGAGGAGTGAGAGAAAGTGCCTTAACTTCCCACCACAGAAGCTGAACGCTAGACAGAGCCTCAGGTCATATTCACCAAACAGAAGGTCCAAGGCTCTGATTGTGGAAAGAACGGGGCAGGGAGCTCAAGGAGGAGGGAGCTTTCTGGAGGGGAGAGAGAAGGGTCTTCCATTTACCTGTGCCTTAGACTCAAGGAATTCTCTGGGGGTCTAGACCTCCTGCGGATGAGTGCCCAAGTTCCCACAAGGTACTCAGGACTCTGATCTCAAACCAGGAATTCCCACGCTGGCTCCAGTCCCCGCATCCCCGTGGTCTCCAGCTTGGGCAATGGTGTCCCTGGCCATGGAAAGGCTGTCATGTCATCGCATACCTCCCCAGATACATAAGCAGAGAGGACTGAGTAACGTCACATGGCTCAAGCAGTAATGTGTTCTTAACTGAATGTCATCCCAAACTCTTTGTAGCAAAAGAGAAATGAAAGAGAAACCTAATAACCTTTCTTTCTGTTTCCTGGAAACCCCGATAAACTAGATTCTCAATGTCATTTTGTGTCCGGAGACTTACATGATAAGGACTTTGTAATAAACCCAGTAAAGAGCTCCCCAAATTAGATCGCCTCATTTGGCAAACAGCTAAAGACCGGGTTGCGTCCTCCTGCGAAGGCTGAGAATGAAGACTGGTGCCTCCTGGTGTTACCTGGTCTGGAAGCTGTCAGTGATTTCTTCTGCTTCAGGTCAGGTGGCAGTAAGGATATTTCTAGACCTGAGATTCTCTCCACGAAACTCAAGAGGAAACTTTCAACAGGTCTTCTTGGCTTGTCGTTTGGAAAGATTCATGAAGTTTAGCGCTCCAGGCTGTAGCTTCTTCAGGTTCAGGACTCAGGCTGAAAAGAGGCTTAAAGAAGGAGAACCACTTCCTTATTAAGCCCTGCCCCTGGCTCTTTAATTAAAGGAGGGGCTGATCTTTGCCCGTGTAATTTGACTCTAAAAGGAATTCTGTATTCATTACCTAGCACTCTTCCTGCCCTTTGGGATAACTAGGTGGGTGTTCTGATACTTTACTCTCCTTATCAGTTGTTGTTAGTTGAACAAATGTTTACTGACCACCTACCATGGTACAGGTACTGTACACATATTTAATCTTTTTTTTTTTTTTTTTTTGGAGACAGAGTTTCACTCTGTTACCCAGGCTAGAGTGCAGTGGTGCGATCTTGGCTCACTGCAACCTCCGCCTCCTGGGTTCAAGCAATTCTCCTGTCTCAGCCTCCTGACTTTCTGGGATTACAGGCTTGCATCAGCACGCCCGGCTAATTTTTGTATTGTTAGTGGAGACACGGGTTTCACCATGTTGGTCTCGAGCTCCTGACCTCAGGTGGTCCGCCCTCCTCGGCCTTCCAAAGTGCTGGGATTACAGGCTTGAGCCACTGCGCCCGGCCCACATATTTAATCTTAACAACACTGAGAGGCAGGTGTTACGATTCCCATTGCACAGATGAGGAAACTGAGGCTCAGAGAGGTGAAGTATCTTGCTAGGGATCCCTGTCAGTTGAGCTGAGATCCAAATCGTGCTCTTTCTGGCTTTACACTATATCATGTCACCTCTCCTACGTGACTCAAAGATTGTATTCAAGTGGAACCACTGGAAAAGTGTTAAAAACGGAATATAACCATAGCCATCGTAAAAACCACAAAAACCCACTGAAAAGCCAAATGTCATAAGTTTAGAGATGGAATTTCCTATTATATGAAGTGGGAAACAGTTACTTCTGATTTTATGCTCTATCCAGAGTCTTAAGTGAAATAGATATGTATGGCCACACTTGAGATCATAAACCCTGGACCACTGTCAAACTGTGACGATGAAGGAAGTATGAATAATGAAAGGGGAATTAACGCTATTTTCGTAAAAGTGGGGAAGAATGGGTCATTTTAATATTAGGCAAACAGATCTACAAGAGACAAACATGGTAGTTATGGGAAAGTTAGAGATTTAGTAACTCAAGGTGAATTTTCACTAATAAACTGATATTTTTTGCACCAGTGTGGTCAATGTAGAGGGTATTAAAGAAATACTAAGAATGATTTGTATCTTTTTATAAAAACGTGCCATCTTTTTTTGTGGGGGAGGGGGGATGATGAGATATATTCACTGGAAACAATTCAAGAATAAACAGGGCCTGGCTCAGTGTCTCAAGCCTGTAAGCTCAGCATTTTGGGAGGCTGAGGCGAGAGGATCACTTGAAGCCAGGAGTTTGAGACCAGCCTGGGCAACATAGTGATGAGACAAGCGTTCTTCAGGACTGGTTTGCAAGGTACAGGTCACAAAGACCCCACTGATAAAATGACACGTAGTAAAGCAGCAGCCCAAACCTACCAGAACCAAGATGCAATGAAAGCAACCTCCGGTCATCCCCCCTGCTCATTGTACGGCAATGATTACACACCATTACACTGGTGTGCTAGAAGACACTCACTCCTACAGCCCCACGGCAGTTTACAAATGTTATGGCAATGTCTGGAAGTTACCCTATATTGTCTGAAATGGGAGAAATCCTCAGTTCTGGGAACTTGCCACCGTTTTCCCAGAAAATTCACGAAGAATTCACTTTTGGTTTAGCATATGATCAAGAAATACCCGTACACTCAATCAAGCAGCCCATGCCACTGCTCTGCCTATGGAGTAGCCCCCGCCTTTTTTTTTTTTTTTTTTTTTTTTTTTTTTTTGAGATGGAGTTTCGCTCTTGTTGCCCAGGCTGGAGTGCAATGGCGCAATCGTGGCTCACCGCAACCTCCGCCTCTCCAGGTTCAAGCAATTCGCCTGCCTCAGCCTCCTGAGTAGCTTGGATTACAGGCATGCGCCACCACGCCGGGCTAATTTTGTATTTTTAGGAGAGACGGGGTTTCTCCACATTGGTCAGGCTGTTCTGGAACTCCCGACCTCTGGTGATCCGCCTGCCTCAGCCTCCCAAAGTGCTGGGATTACAGGCATGAGCCACTGTGCCCAGCATCCCCTTTTATTCCTTAACTTGCTTAATACACTTGCTTTCATTTTGCTTTGTTGGCTCACTCTTGAATTCCTGTGGGAAGCCAAGAACCCATGTGGCCTCCTAGGCTGAACCCCAGTTTTGGGATTTACCCTGTGATAGTGAGACCCCATCTCTTGTTATTATTATTATTTTTTAATTAGCCAGGCATGACTCACACATGTAGTGCTAGCTACTCAGGGGGCTGAGGTGGGAGGATCACTGGAGACCAGGTATTCAAGACCAGCTAGACAACGTAGCATGGTGGCACATGCCTGTAGTCCTAGCTACTTGGTGGTCTGAGGCAGGAAGATTGCTTGAGCCCAGGAGTTCAAGGAGGCAGTGAGCTAGGATCATGCTATTGTAGTTTAGCCTGGGTGACAGAGTAAGACCCTGTCTCAAAACAAGAAGAAAAACCCTGTCTCAAAACAAACAACAAACAAACAAAACAAACAAACAATAAACCCACAAATGCATATAAGCAATAATAAAATCACATCACATAGTATGGACTACTGGAGTTCTGAGTTACTAACTAAACAGTGTTGGTTGCAGAAACCATTTAGAATCCTGAAGAATCTTGGTCATGCACAGTGGCTCATACCTGCAATCCCAGCACTTTGGGAAGCTGAGGCAGGAGGACGGACTGTGTCCCAGAGTTTGAAACCAGCCTGGGTAACACGGCGAGACCCCATCACTACAAAAAATAAAAAGTTAGCTGGGCGTGATGGAGCACACCTGGAGTCTCAGCTACTCAGGAGACTGAGGTGGGAGGATTTCTTGAGCCTGGCACGGGGCCAGGGGGTTGAGGTTGCAATGAGCCATGATCACACCACTGCACTCAGCCTGGGTGACAAAGCCAGACCCTGTCCCCATAAAATAAAAATTCCTGAAAGGTTTTGGCAAGGCAACTATTAACACAGGGAAGGGACAAACCCCACATGGAAGCTGAGGAAAGCAACTGTCCACATCTCATTCAACTATGTTATCTCCACGCCTGACAAGCTGACCACGGACACGTCACAACACATGTTAGATATTAAACAGCAAAAACAAAAACCACTTTTCTCCCGATCCTAAACACAGACGTGCTGTTGTAGAAAATTTGTAAAACAGCGTACATAATAAGGATTGCCCTAATGCAGTCATTCAGCGCGAAATGCTGCTAAAAATTTGGCGGACGTCTCTTCTTTTCTTTGAGAAAAAGCAGACACAGGACAAACTCTCTGCCTTCCCCTCTCTATGAGGAAAGACAGGATGATTCTCCTTTTTCCTTCAGACAGAGTCTCACTCTGTTGCCCAGGCTGGAGTGCAGTGGCACAATCTCGGCTCACTGCAACCTCTGCCTCCCAGGTCCAAGCTATTCTCCCACCTCAGCCTCCACAGTCGCTGGAATTACAGGCATGTGCCACCACGGCCGGCTTATTTTTGGATTCTTAATAGAGACAGGGTTTCACTATTTTGGCCAGACTGGTCTCCAACTCCTGAGCTCAAGATATTCGTCTGCCTCAGTCTCCCAAAAGTGCTGGGATTACAGGTGTGAGCCACCACGCCCAGCCGTCATAACTTCTAATAAACTTATCTTGTAAATAAAAATCTTTAGTGGCTGCGTCGTTCCAGTGAATGATAGCATTAAAAATATTCAGCCAGTGGAGAATCTCCTGAACCCGGGAGGCAGAGGTTGCAGTGAGCTGAGATCGGGCCACTGCACTCCAGCCTGGGTGACAGAGGGAGACTCAGTCTCCAAAACACAAAAATCAAAATCAAATAAAAGAAAATAATTCAGCCAGGCAACTATTTTTAAACGTTTTGTTTGTCGCCAGGCGCGGTGGCTCACGCCTGTAATCCCAGCACTTTGGGAGGCCAAGGCAAGCAGACCACGAGGTCAGGAGATTGAGACCATCCCGGCTACCACAGCGAAACCCTGTCTCTACTAAAAATACAAAAAATTAACTGGGTGTGGTGGTGGGCGCCTGTAGTCCCAGCTACCTGGGAGGCTGAGGCAGGAGAATGGTGTGAACCTGGGAGGCGGAGGTTGCAGTGAGCTGAGATCATGCTACTGTACTCCAGCCTGGGCGACAGAGTGAGACTCCGTCTCAAAATAATACTAATAGTATTAATGCTTTGTTTGTCTTCAGGTGCTTACTGTTACAAATAACGCTGCAGGGTATAGCTTTTCATCTTTGCTCACGTTTTCTGTTGTTTCCTGAGAAATGATGCCTGAGAGTGGAATTATTTGGTGTGGATATTTCTGAAACTGTTATATGTGCTTTCAATTCCCTTTAATCTATGATTCTGGAATGGATTTATATCATCACTGGAAATAGATAAAAATGCCTAAGAGTTTGAATAATATAGATAAAAAGCCCATCCTCAGGAAAACGGTGGGGTTTTTACCCATCACTACGAGTAACCATATAAGACTTGAAAGGCCAGATGAGCAGATTTTAGAGTGGATACCAGATTATTTTGGGGCTATGACATTTATCCTTGTTTTGATTTCAATGATGAAACTCAATGAAATAGGATCAGAGATGGAACGAAGCAGCAAAAGGCTGTGACTGGTTGAAATGAAAGATTTGGGAAAAGGAGCAGAGGAGAAGCACCATTCATTAAGCACATCTGTGAAGGGGTCAAGATGTCACCCCCCGAAAAGTACACCACTTTAACCTTAAGATCATTTTGAGCTGAAGGCGATGAAGATGAAGCAGACACCAGAAAAACTCTCGGCCAGGTGCGGTGGCTCACGCCTGTAACCCCAGCACTTTGGGAGGCCGAGGTGGGTGGATCATCTGAGGTCAGGAGTTCAAGACCAGCCTGGCCAACATGGTGAAACCCCATCTCTACTAAAAATACAAAAATTAGCC